ATGTGTGTGTGTGTGTGTGTGTTTGTGTGTGTGTGTGTGTGTGTGTGTGTGTGTGTGTGTGTGTGCGTGTGTGTGCGTGTCTGTGTGTGTGTGTGTGTGTGTGTGTGTGTTGAAAGTGCACACACCTCCGTGTCTGTCTCACTGGTGTAGTTGTGCTCATCGGTATAGTCAGCAACAGCAAAACAGCCACTTCCATAATGGTATGACCTAGAGATGTAAATTGCACACAATTTATAATAAATTTAAATGTATTATATATAAACATTAGGTCTAAGGTCAATATATGTGTGTGTGTGTGTGTGTGTGTGTGTGTGTGTGTGTGTGTGTGTGTGTGTGTGTGTGTTATTTCAGTATCATGATATAGTATTGTTAATATTTTGAATTAGATTTTATTTTTCAATTTTTATTTTTATTTAGTTAAAGTTTTAGTAATTTTGTTGTGTTTTTGTCATTTTATTAGTTTTTGTTTGCAAATTTTTTTTAGTTTTAAGGCATAGTTCACCCAAAAAAAATGACAATTTCCCTTCATGTTATTCCAGACCTGTTTCTGTTGAACACAAAAGAAGATATTTTGAAGAATGTTTGTAACCACAAATTATTTTTTTCACAAATGATTATACCGTAGTATAAAAAAACAAACAAACATGGAAGTCATTGGCTACCATCAACTGTTTTGTTACCCTCATTCTTTACAATATTTTATTTTGTGTTCAACAGAAAAAAAAATTTATAATATGAGAAACGATGCCTTAACAACTATGTGAAATAAAATACATTTACGTTTTTCAGATATTGTATTTTATTTCAGTTATTTTACTTGTTTATTACATTTCAAGTAATTAAAATATTTGTATGGTTTTTAGTTAATAAAAATAACCCCAATAAATACATAAACAGTAATATTACATATTACAAAAATTACAAAAATGTACCTTGCATAGAAGGGAGACACTTGAGAAAGCTTTTTGTCCTGACCATCAAGCCTTAGAAGCAATATCGCACTGATGAGAAGAATTAAATATGGTCCACTCAGTCTAAGACTTTCCTTTGAGAAAAGCATGTAAGCTCTAAACTCTCCTTGTGCCGCCTCTGTATTTATATGACAGAGGGGGCGGGGTTAAGTAAGAAGGTGTGTCCTCAACTGTGGTGTATTGTAACAAAGTAATAATACTTCGTTACAGTACTTAAGTATTTTTTGGGAGTATCTGTACTTTACTCGAGTTTTTATATTTCTGCCAACTTTTACTTTTACTCCACTATATTTCCTAATTAAAATGTATACTTTTACTCCGATACATTTCCCCGAATGTATATTCTTACATTGTATGCTTTTTATATTTATATAATTTAACATAGTTAACTTAATCTACATCACACAAAGAGTACCATTTTTCTGCAGATATCAGCATGATAATTTAATAATCATTTTATACAAGTTCAGTAAAGCAATAAGTGACTTGTTTTTGCTCAATTTTGCTAACGAAAAGATCACAGCACTGTTTTGCGTCTCTGAGCAATGGGCGGTGTTTAGTTATTCGCTGAATTAGAATCAGCTTTTTGAACGAATCGGTTGAATAAATGATTCAGTGATTCACACATTAACACAATCAAATGCTTTGTTTCTGAATGAATCAGTCGTTTGAATGAATCGCAATGACTCACTCATTAACAGTCACTTGCTGTCACTGGCGGTTTTAATTTCACATTTCGACAATTTTTTTCATGTTTTAAATGATTTCAAATATCAGTATTCCACATTTTATGTTAAAAACAAAGCATTAGGCCTATTTATTCATCTGTAACTGCAGGTTAAATGCATCCATGTCCCCTCTGAGCTACATTAAACTGTGTAAATACATCTAAACGCTATTTCAGATGCAGATTCCAGAAATGTTTTCTTGTGTTGGAATGAAAGACACTAAGTACCGGATGAAGTGCTTCTTACACTTACCCAAAAATACAAAATGGAAGAAAGAGTTCAAACTGAACACAATCTTGCTTCTCAAGCTGTGTATGAAAATTTTTTTAATATATATGTATTTGCTTCTTTGTTTACCTTCCTGCTTAATAGACAACTCTGCATCTCTGTTTAAGCTGGTAGAGGTAACATTTACTGTAGTTGATTATGTGCATTTTATGTGTTTCTTGCTCTAACACCGCTGCACTGAGTACCTTCTTTCTTCTTATGACTCACGTCTCAAGCGACTGTTTGTTCCTGAAAGGTTTTTTCAGTTCTCTCACCTGCCGGAAAGCCATCTCTTAAAATAGCCCCTCCTCACACACAAGCTTTCCTTTATCGCTCCACTTTTCCTGTCGTTTTGTTCCCTTGACTTGAGTCACACTTTTTTTCCATGCCCTTGGCACTTCAGATCCCCTCCAGTTCTGTCAATTCCCATCGGTATTCCCAAGCGGGTATTTTTTCGGATGGCATGAGGTCTCTCTCTCTCAATGCGGTCTCCAAATCAAATCTTTTCAGACAGTCAGGAACTTCCAGGAATTTTGAGGTGTCATTTGAATTCAGCTATATAAAGGAGATGACTGTTCATTCAGAGCCCTTTTCCCCAATTCTCATCCTCTTTTCTTGATTTTCCCCCCTCGTGCTTGTTCACTGTTTCCCTATAGACTCTATTGTGCGCTTTTCCTGCTTTGGACATCTGGAGTTGTTTTCCCAGTCTGAGGAGCCGCTGGGATCCTCAAGCTCTTCAACCAAGTGCCACCTGCAAACATTCATGTACGTCATATACAAACATGTATCATATAGTGATGGCTTGTTATAGGACAGAAACACATAATTCACCTGACTCGGTTTACGTTATTATTCTAGTTTGTATATGCTTTCCTGCTGTTTTCTTGTGACCGTGACATTGATATGCAGCAGGTCATGGAAAGAACTGTTTGGAATTGTAGCATGCATCTTAAAGAGGCCTAATGTGCTTTGGGTTTCTTATTAACCGACAATTTCTGCAGCTGTTAAGGTTTAAACCAAGTCAAAGACTGATTGATATTAAATATAGGTCTTTGCACCATTAAAAATAAAGGTTCCAAAAGGGTGTTTTTGCAGTGATTCCACAGAAGAAACATTTTGGGCTCCTTAAAGAATCTTTCAGTAAACAGTTCCTGAACAATTTAATAAAAAAGATTTTATGGAATGGAAAGATTCCATGGATGTTAAAGATTTTTCACAGTACCACAGATGTGACAAGAATGTTGATTTTCTTGTTTTATTTTTCTACGTAAATAATGTTGTTATAATCATGGTAAAAAAATGTTTATACATGTTTTATTTATTTATTACCTTTTTTGTATTTTATGCTGCTTGCAATACATTGACATTCAAAAATCAAACATTCTGTGTAGCATCGATCAGTTATAGTTAACTAAAAGTAAAGCTATTAAAAATAGTTGTTTGGTAATTCAAATAAATTCAAATAAAATAAAATATTAATTACTAAATTACAAAAAATTATTAAAAGTAAAATTTAAATAAAAAAATTGATAAAAGCTACAAATAAAACACTAATCAAAACACTAATAAAGATGAGAAAGGCACATACACTCTAAAAAATGCTGGGTTAAAAAGGTCAAACCCAGCTATTTTGTTTTGAGTCAAAATAACCCAACCGCTGGGTTAAAACAACCCAATAGCTAGGTTTGTCCCTTTTTAACCCAGCATTTTTTTAGAGTGTAACAAAATTACTAAAATTATACTAATAAAAGCTAATTAAAAATATCACTAATAATAGTTTATAAATAATACTTAAATGGCTTCAAATGAGGCACAAACATTCTACCAAATATGACTATACTTTTGTTCTCAAATTTCAGCCTTTGTGCACTCTAAAAAAATGCTGGGTTAAATACAACCTAGTGCTGGGTAAAATAGGGACAAACCCAGCAAAAAAAAAAATTCCGACCCAGCGGTTGGGTTAAATGTTTAACCCAACCTTGTGGGTATTAACCCAACCGCTGGGTCAAAACAACCCAATTTCTGGGGTTGTCCCTATTTTACCCAGCACTGGGTTGTATTTAACCCAGCATTTTTTAGAGTGTGTGTTTTAATGATAAATATCTATTTTTCTTATGTAAGCCTGATAGAAGAAAAAGTAATCAAGCCACACTTTGCATTTCATCTATTGGAATGGCACTTGTTCGGTCTACATGTTGCCAAAATCACATGTTTTCATGTGAATTGTTGTCATTTTATAACACATTATCTGTCCGAGTCAGTGATAGTCAGTCAGTGAGACTCTGAAAACAATAACATTTTATTTTATTTTATTTTATTTTATTTTATTTTGTTTGATTTTATTTTATTTTATTTTATTTTGTTTTATTTTATTTTATTTTATTTTATTTTGTTTTGTTTTGTTTTGTTTTATTTTATTTTATTTTATTTTATTTTATTTATTTTTTTTTTTTTACTTTTGTTCCTGTAACAATTGACAGATGTTTGTGACTTTATTCAGATTCACCTCTATTCATCTTGACTCACTGAGCACGACACAATCACTTCTTGGTACGGCGGAGCTTGTCAACAGGATGTAAGTGGCAGGTGTGGATGCAGGATTTGAGTAACACTTGATTAAGAGCAGAAGAGGCGCTGTTGATAGAGCACTTATTGTGATTTATGCTTGTGTACGGCAGTTTGTTGCGATAAGGAAAGATGACATGGATTTATTCTCATGTGAATTGCTGTGTGTATAATTTCAAACATTTTCCTATCTTTAACAGACACATCCTGTTGTTGATTGCCATTATATATATAACATAATACAGTAGCATAAAAATAAAAATGATGGAACACACATAACAAAATGTATTACTTTATTAAACTTGATAATAATAATACAAGTTTAACTATGGCTTGACCCATAACCTGAATGAGGATTAAACCTTTCAAAATACATATTACATCCAGTAGATTGTATTTTACATTGTAGATTATTTGTTATTTTAAATAAACTTAATAAAACTTTAACTATGGCTTACAAAAAGCTTAAACTATAGTTAAGGTGTGTGTGTGTGTGTTTAGAGGGAAAAGAGAAAACCCCATTTTTGGCTTTTCAAAATATATTTAGCATCCAGTGGATTGTATCTTACATAGTAAATGATTGTTTTTTTGTTTTTGAACATTACATAATAAAAAAAGTAATTTAGAGAAAAATATCACACCCTTAGATGTTGGGTAGAATACCGTATTTAAATTGAACAAAACAAACCAGCTTTGTCTGTTTTCAGTTTATTATCTTGCGTTTAGGCTATTAATCTTTTATGGATTCATAATTATGTTTGATTACATGTTTACCTTGGAACAGTTATTCAGATTCACCTCTATTCATCTTGACTCACTGAGCACGACACAATCACTTCTTGGTACGGCGGAGCTTGTCAACAGGATGTAAGTGGCAGGTGTGGATGCAGGATTTGAGTAACACTTGATTAAGAGCAGAAGAGGCGCTGTTGATAGAGCACTTATTGTGATTTATGCTTGTGTACGGCAGTTTGTTGCGATAAGGAAAGATGACATGGATTTATTCTCATGTGAATTGCTGTGTGTATAATTTCAAACATTTTCCTATCTTTAACAGACACATCCTGTTGTTGATTGCCATTATATATATAACATAATACAGTAGCATAAAAATAAAAATGATGGAACACACATAACAAAATGTATTACTTTATTAAACTTGATAATAATAATACAAGTTTAACTATGGCTTGACCCATAACCTGAATGAGGATTAAACCTTTCAAAATACATATTACATCCAGTAGATTGTATTTTACATTGTAGATTATTTGTTATTTTAAATAAACTTAATAAAACTTTAACTATGGCTTACAAAAAGCTTAAACTATAGTTAAGGTGTGTGTGTGTGTGTTTAGAGGGAAAAGAGAAAACCCCATTTTTGGCTTTTCAAAATATATTTAGCATCCAGTGGATTGTATCTTACATAGTAAATGATTGTTTTTTTGTTTTTGAACATTACATAATAAAAAAAGTAATTTAGAGAAAAATATCACACCCTTAGATGTTGGGTAGAATACCGTATTTAAATTGAACAAAACAAACCAGCTTTGTCTGTTTTCAGTTTATTATCTTGCGTTTAGGCTATTAATCTTTTATGGATTCATAATTATGTTTGATTACATGTTTACCTTGGAACAGTCAGTTTTCATCATGTCACGGTTGTGGCTACTGTATGTCTCTACACATCGACTGGATCTGCTGTAAGGTTATTTATAGTATGAGTGAATAGAGATGAAGTGAAAAGACATTAAAGGATTAGAGCATAACTAATGCACTGCGGGATTACAGACAAACGGGGGTAGAGACAGCTGGAGGTAAACAGAGAGCTAGATAAAAGGCCGGCAGGTAAAGAGAGAGAATCACAGCCACTGAGTGACTGATTCAAATCCTATAGAAATGAAAGACTGAAAGGCTCCAGCGCACTGCATCCTGCATGGCACACTCAGGTGAAGACACGCTCACAGGTAAGAGGATGAACGAACACACATATAAAGGAGACAAATGTTTTGGTCTGGAATTCTGGTTGCAAATCTGGAATTGACTTATATGCCCGCTTTAAACAGTCTTAGATCATGTCTAAATGTATATCCAAATGCAGATCTAATCAAAGTAAGTAATTATGTCTCAAAATGCTCATAAGAATCTAGGGGATCGCAGAGTGTATATATATATATATATAAGGCTATAAAGTCATCTAGTGGTTGCATCATGGTATTACATATGATTTTCTATATTACTCCCACCAGATGGCAGCAATCTGCTCAGGGTTTATCAGTTGTATTAATATGTTAATATTAATTGTATTAATTGACAATAATATGAAATATTTATCTAATATTTGTATTATTTTATATAGACATAAATACTGTTTTTCAGCCAAACTGTATATTTACAACATCTACTGTAGCAGCAGGTATTAAATCACGTAGGGCCATATGGAATCCATTTTATTTTTCCTAAAATCTTTGTTTTCTGTTTTGATTTTTCAGACTTTTGTTTTACTTACATTTTAATCAAATTTAAGTCATTTAAGAACTTATACACATCTATTATTAAACATTTTGATAAGGAATGCATAAAACTTTGATTTAATTCACTTTAAAACTTTAATTTAATTTAATCTTTTTAAATGTAATCAAATGAAATCTGAACAATTCCATACATTTTTGGCAACGAAATGCCTTTGCTGTATTTTTAACTTTACACTGTATAATTTGAAATATTTTTCTAACATTTATGTAATTTTATGTATAGTCATAAATACATAACTTAAAGATGAATATTGTCTAGTACCGTGAAATCCCCTCAAAATACAGATCATTGAAGAATAAATATTATTGAAACAAAATATATTATAATCATTCAATAAAAAAAAATGTTATGCTTATTGTCTTCAGTCTGTTTTGATCGTCTTAAAGGGATAGTTCGCCCAAAAATGAAAATTGTGTCATCACTTACTCACCCTCATGTCGTTTCAAACCTGTATGAGTTGCTTTCTTATGTTGAACATAAAAGAAGACAGTTTGAAGAATGCCGTTGATGGTCCCCATTGATTTCCATGGTATTTCTTTCCCTACAATGGAAGTCAGTGGGGACCAACAACTGTTTGGTTCTTCGGAATTCTTCAAAATATCTTCTTTTGTGTTCAGCATGAGAAAGAAACTCATACAGGTTTGAAGCAACACGAAGGTGAGTAAATGATGACATCAATTTTCATTTTTGGGTGAACTACTCCATAAGTGAGGAACACCAGAGGGTTAAAGTCACACAGTTTCTGCATTGCAAGCGACACCCATAATTTGCTATTTTTTTCCCATAATATTTCATGTTGTTGTTTTGTTCCCTGCAGTTCCGGAAGAATAAAGTGAGGGATTATGTGTCAGACTCAGATTCAGACAATGATGAATCCAGCAGCCCAGAAGTCATTTTGAGACAGGTAACCTTGGCTCACACCTAAAGCTAATTTTAAAACCAGTTTCCGCCTTTGTTTCATTTGTTTCATTCCCTCAGGCTCTGGCTGCAGTTTTGATCAGGTTTCTCCAGACTCAACCGCAAGGGCGTGTGCTGAAAGCATGCCTGAGATCCTTACGGATTCTCTCGAGGGACAAAAAGGTTTTGGGCCCTTTGATCACTGACAGAGCGCTTCTCACTCTAGCACACCTGGGCGGCATCAGCCACGCACCCGTTCCCAAAGAAGACACCGACGGTGATGCTGACCCCTATAATGACATCATCCAGGCTATTTCTGAGAGCAAATTGGGTCGAGCGGATGAGGATGATCACGACGGTGAGGAAGACGATGGTTTTGGGGCCGTAAGCAGCGATGTGAATGACCCTGTGGTCTGGGCTCAGAGCGGTTGGTGTGGCGAGCGCAAGGCCAGCACTTTTTCAATCATGAGCCTCGGACCCTCTCGCAGGAGGAGCAGCGTCTTCAAAGCTCTCACGCCTGGTAAAAGAGACAGCAGAGGAAGCCTGGGAGGAGGAGAGGAAGAGGAGGAAAAAGAAGAAAAGTTCGATGATGAAGTCAACAGGAAGGAAGTCATGAAAATCTTCTGTAACATTGTTTACAATAATGCTTGGGCACAAGAGAGAGCCAGCGAACTCAGGTACGAGCCATTTCAACTTACAGTCTCAAATTCTAATATCCTTCCTCGTGAGTTCTATAAAAAATGCAAATGAAATTTGTGGTTGCCTCACTATGCAAAGCTCCTTTTGAATCGCTTGTGGAGAAAGAGGTTTTTTGCTGTCAAGACATCTACCAGCAGGGGTTTAACTTGAGATAAAAAGTTTATTTATTCTGTGTATTCCATTTAAATTTTTCCAGATTCTGTTTTAATGCTTTAATTAGATTTTAGTAATCAAAAAGGAATTGAATTCAATTCAATTAACAGATTGAATCAACTGAATGTTAGCAATTTTCTAATTTATTATTAGTGCTGTCAAACGATTAATCGCGATTAATCGCATCCAAAATAAACGTTTTTGTTGTTTATTATGTATATATAAATACACACACACACATACAGTATATATTTTGAAAATATTGTATACATTTATATATTTATATTCTTATATTTTATATAATAAATAAATATATTTAATGTAGAAAAATAATATATTTTTCTTAAATATTTGCATGCATGTGTTTGTATTTATATATACATAATAAATATACACAGATACATATATTTACATATATTATGTAAACAAAAACTTTCATTTTGGATGCGATTAATCGCGATTAATCGTTTGAAAGCACTATTTATTATTATTATTAAAAAGTGATAGTGCCCTATGAAATTTTATTTATTTTATTTATTTATTTTGAGAAATTCGGTGTCCTCTGTTTGAAGTTTTCTAGATTCTGTATTTTAGGATTTAATACAAATGTATTATCAAAAATGTTGGTAATCAAATGAATGCGTTAAACCTTAACAACTTAATTCGTCTTTTAGAATGTAATCAAATACATTTTTTTGGCAAACAAAGGTGGCAAAATTTGGCAGAACATATGTCTACCCTTTAAATGGAAGAGAAATGTTGATATTTCTTTAAAATTATTATTATTATTATTATTTCTCTGAGAAGTATATTTTAGTACAATAGTAATATATTTGTGTCATAATTTCTTCAAAATAAACCAAACTTTTATTTTGGTGGGTTATATTGAAGACTTTTGAGTGTCTTTCTGACCAAAGCTTTATCAAATGAAATGGTGAAATGTTGATGAAGTGACTGGAGGTCAAAAAATATCCCCCTTTTGCTGTTTAAGATTCATATGCACTTATTGTACAGCCCTACTTTTGATTTAAACATGTCAATTTTGCCAAAATGACCGGATTCCAACTATGTTTTCATGCTAACCAGTGAAAGCTTGACCATTGAGTTACAAGTCATTGCAGAAATCGCTAAGTAAAGTTAGTTTTGAGAAAAGGCATATGAACTAATGCAATGGAATTCATTCACTGTATGTGTTACTGAAGTGTTTTGGGGGACACCGTATTCACTGAAACAAAATAGAAATGCTATATTTGCATGCCATATGCTGTTTTGTCTTCTTTCAAACTGTTTGCTGTTTTTCAGTCTCCTCTGTGGTCTGACAGAAAAGCTAAATAAGGAGTTTCAGTCCGCGTCTTCTCCTTGTGGTCAGTTTTATGCACTCCGGTTGATGTTTTTACTGACGGCGTTGAGACCTGAACTCAGAGCACAGCTGAAACAAGTATCTTTCTTCTTCTATTTTCTAATATTTTAGTGAGTTTTCAGAAAATCTGCTATTATGTCATATACACTTACGTTTAGGCTCAGTCAGGACGCATTAAATGATTAAAAATGCCAGGTAACACATTTATAATGTTACAATGTTAATGTTTTCAACTCATCAAAGTATCCTGAAAAAAATAAATATACACAGATACATATATTTACATATATTATGTAAACAAAAACTTTCATTTTGGATGCGATTAATCGCGATTAATCGTTTGAAAGCACTATTTATTATTATTATTAAAAAGTGATAGTGCCCTATGAAATTTTATTTATTTTATTTATTTATTTTGAGAAATTCGGTGTCCTCTGTTTGAAGTTTTCTAGATTCTGTATTTTAGGATTTAATACAAATGTATTATCAAAAATGTTGGTAATCAAATGAATGCGTTAAACCTTAACAACTTAATTCGTCTTTTAGAATGTAATCAAATACATTTTTTTGGCAAACAAAGGTGGCAAAATTTGGCAGAACATATGTCTACCCTTTAAATGGAAGAGAAATGTTGATATTTCTTTAAAATTATTATTATTATTATTATTTCTCTGAGAAGTATATTTTAGTACAATAGTAATATATTTGTGTCATAATTTCTTCAAAATAAACCAAACTTTTATTTTGGTGGGTTATATTGAAGACTTTTGAGTGTCTTTCTGACCAAAGCTTTATCAAATGAAATGGTGAAATGTTGATGAAGTGACTGGAGGTCAAAAAATATCCCCCTTTTGCTGTTTAAGATTCATATGCACTTATTGTACAGCCCTACTTTTGATTTAAACATGTCAATTTTGCCAAAATGACCGGATTCCAACTATGTTTTCATGCTAACCAGTGAAAGCTTGACCATTGAGTTACAAGTCATTGCAGAAATCGCTAAGTAAAGTTAGTTTTGAGAAAAGGCATATGAACTAATGCAATGGAATTCATTCACTGTATGTGTTACTGAAGTGTTTTGGGGGACACCGTATTCACTGAAACAAAATAGATATGCTATATTTGCATGTCATATGCTGTTTTGTCTTCTTTCAAACTGTTTGCTGTTTTTCAGTCTCCTCTGTGGTCTGACAGAAAAGCTAAATAAGGAGTTTCAGTCTGCGTCTTCTCCTTGTGGTCAGTTTTATGCACTCCGGTTGATGTTTTTACTGACGGCGTTGAGACCTGAACTCAGAGCACAGCTGAAACAAGTATCTTTCTTCTTCTATTTTCTAATATTTTAGTGAGTTTTCAGAAAATCTGCTATTATGTCATATACACTTACGTTTAGGCTCAGTCAGGACGCATTAAATGATTAAAAATGCCAGGTAACACATTTATAATGTTACAATGTTAATGTTTTCAACTCATCAAAGTATCCTGAAAAACAAATGTATCACAGTTTCCACTAAAATATTGAGCAGCACAGCTGTTTTTAACATAGCTAATAATCAGAAATGTCTCTTCAGCAGCAAATCAGCATATTGGAATGATTTCTGAAGAATCATGTGGCACTGAAGACTGGAGAAATTATGCTGAAAAATCAGATTTGATCACAGGAATAAATTACATGCTACAATACATTCACATAGAAAACAGATATTTTACATTGTAATAATATTTCAAAATTTTACAGTATTTTGGATCAAATAAATGCAGCCTTGGTGAGCAGAAGAGACTTTTTTTTTTCAACGACATTAAAGGGGTCCTATTATGCTTTTTCAATTTTTCAGCTTTAGTCAGTCTGTAATGTTGCTGTTTGAGCATAAAAAAGATCTGCAAAGTTACAAAGCTCAAAGTCCACTTCAAAAGGAGATGTTTTATTTAACAGAAATCACTTTTCAAAAACTACAACGAACGACTTGTTTGGACTACAGTGCATATTTTCCAGGATTTGTGATATAACAAATATCGACAAATGGGACGAGACCTGGTTGAGCTGCACTAGAGAAGGCAACGAGAGTTATCACTGTGTCGGAGACACGCTATCTTTCCCAAGGCAGACGAACTTAAGAGTGGTTACAATCATCCGGGATTAAATCACGCTCAAATTGATTTGATTTTGATGCAATATTTACACTGAAGCTCGCAGGCGGCTATGTTAAGGGGCGTGACATTTCCCGACCAGGCGCCGAGTGCTGCCAATCACAGCACACACTGGCCCAGCTAACCGATCACAGCACACCCTGCCCCAGCTAACCGATCACAACACACACTGGCCCAGCTAACCGATCACAGCACACCCTGCCCCAGCTAACCGATCACAACACACACTGGCCCAGCTAACCGATCACAGCACACCCTGCCCCAGCTAACCGATCACAACACACACTGGCCCAGCTAACCGATCACAGCACACCCTGCCCCAGCTAACCGATCACAACACACACTGGCCCAGCTAACCGATCACAGCACACCCTGCCCCAGCTAACCGATCACAACACACACTGGCCCAGCTAACCGATCACAGCACACCCTGCCCCAGCTAACCGATCACAACACACACTGGCCCAGCTAACCGATCACAGCACACCCTGCCCCAGCTAACCGATCACAACACACACTGGCCCAGCTAACCGATCACAGCACACCCTGCCCCAGCTAACCGATCACAACACACACTGGCCCAGCTAACCGATCACAGCACACCCTGCCCCAGCTAACCGATCACAACACACACTGGCCCAGCTAACCGATCACAGCACACCCTGCCCCAGCTAACCGATCACAACACACACTGGCCCAGCTAACCGATCACAGCACACCCTGCCCCAGCTAACCGATCACAACACACACTGGCCCAGCTAACCGATCACAGCACACCCTGCCCCAGCTAACCGATCACAACACACACTGGCCCAGCTAACCGATCACAGCACACCCTGCCCCAGCTAACCGATCACAACACACACTGGCCCAGCTAACCGATCACAGCACACCCTGCCCCAGCTAACCGATCACAACACACACTGGCCCAGCTAACCGATCACAGCACACCCTGCCCCAGCTAACCGATCACAACACACACTGGCCCAGCTAACCAATCACAGCACATTTCGTATTTCAGAAGGTGGGCCTTCATTTGATACAGGAACTATTCGAACCGTTCATGCCAGACTGAGGAGAAAGGTATTTTAATAATGTAAACAACCTAGTATGAGAGCCTGTTCTAGTACACCCCCAAAACTAAATCAAGACTTTTGCATAATAGGACCCCTTTAAAATATCCCAACCCCAAACTTTTTTAATCTATATGCATTGACCTCTTCTTAATTTGCAGGAGGGAGGAGTGCCGCTGTTGACCACAGTGCTGGAGAAGAGTTTATCAGTACAGTGGAAGGAACAGTATGAGGTCGTGCTGAATCCTACAGCGCCTCCTATAAGTGTGGAGGACTCACAGCAGGCTCAGGAGGCCCTCAAGATCCTTTTTAATATCACACACAGCACACACACTCAGGACCCTGAAGAGGTGAGTATATGCAGACATTATCACACTCTCCTCCCTTACAGACAACAACTATAATGGCACCATGATGTGTCAGATGGTGATGCTATAGTACTGTGATTAAAAGCACACTCAGTGCACTCAATAAACTGATAGACTGTAACTGTTAATGGTTTGTGTCTGTCAGGGAGATGCGTCTCTCTATCGCCACCTGGCTGCAGTTTTGCGTCACTGTCTGATGGTGTCCTGTGAGGAGGAGGAAGCTGCAGATGAGTTAAAGGGGTTAGTGTTGATAAATATTGTTGATTGTTCTATAATAAATACCTAAAATGTAACGAAAGCCCAGTCAACCGCATCTGTAGCATTAATTTTCCACTAACTGAAAATGTTGATATTTTTGACTCGTTCCACTCATAAGTGGAAGTCAAATATAATTCAAAATAATTAAAACCTTTACTGGCATGATCGACGAGTTCAAGACAAAAATACACAGAAAGAAACATACACAGAAAGAAGTGAAAGATAATAGAATAGTACAAAATAGAATAAAATAATATGAAAATAATTGTTATTAAAAAATCATATTAATAGAATAATAATTGCAACATATTAAATTAAATTAAATTATGTCTACACTACACAGTTGTGCATTAATAATCAGATCACATTATAGTGCACTTAATAATTTGGCTGACAGATGCCAGTACTTTATTGGCATAATTGACAAGATCAAGTGAAAGATTATTTAAAATAACTCCAAAAATAAGAATAGAATAATAATTGCAATATGTACAATTTTGCAGGCAGTAAATAGACTAGTAAATATGAGAATCATGTGTAGTGCACATTAATTTGGCTGACAAAGACAATGACTGACACAACTAAGACAAACACACACACAAGACAAAGAATTTAAAGATAATAGACAAAAAGTAAGATGAAAATAAGACAAAATAATATTAGAATAATAATTGCAAATTAAATTAAATTAAATTATTAAACACATTAAGACTAAACTGTTGTGCAGGCAATAACAGACTAGTGAATATGAAAATTAGATCAAATGTATAGTGCACATATTAATTTGGCTGACGGATGTGTAACCGTCTTACCTCAGTAACACCTGCATCTGATCTGTTTGTGGCAGTAAAAAAAAAAAGTATCTCTCTCTCATATCTCTAAATTGACCACATGTAGGCCTCTTTAGCCAGTGTGCCTCAACTGTGCCAGTGTTACTTCTTCTGGAAGCCGTGTTTGTCTGTGTCTGCTTTTCTCTATCATCTCCAGTCATACTTGTATGAACGATTTGAGTAAATGCATTAAAGGGGTCATATGATGCTGCTAAAAAGAACAGTATTTGGTGTAATGAAATGTGTTTATGCGGTTTAAGGTTCAAAAAACACATTATTTTCCACATACTGTACATTATTGTTTCTCCTCTATGCCCCGCCTTTCTGAAACGCGTCGATTTTTACAAAGCTCATCAGTCTGAAAAGCGAGGTGTGCTCTGATTGGCCAGCTATCCAGTGCGTTGTGATTGGCCGAATACCTCAAGCGTGTGACGGAAATGTTACGCCCCTCACCATACTGTGATGCCCTGTCCGGCCGGAGCGATGATTCAAAAACATTCAAACCCATTACAAACGAGGCATTTGTTGTATCCAGTGGGGACATTATTATGGATTATAATGACTTATACTGTTTTTACGCGTTGTGTTGCATCGCGCCACGTAAACATAAAACCATGTCTGCATTTGTGATCGGAGAAATGACAAACAACAAGCCCTACTCCACACTGCCCAAAAAACTCGCTTTAAATATAAAAAATATAAAAACTCTTTAAATATAAAAAAACTTACTTACAGTCT